CTCTCTCTCTCTCTCTCTCTTTCTCTCTCTCTGAATATCTGGCAGGTTAGAAGTTTATAGCCTCAGTTTGTCAAGATTCTGTCTACTGATGCTGGTGGGGGGGGGGGGAACAGGGGTTAGAGGGCATTTTTGCAGGCTAATTCTGCTGACTGCTGGCTGACTGCCAGCAGTTTGGCAGTTCGAATCTCATCAGGCTCCAGGTTGACTCAGCCTCCCATCCTTCCCAGGTTGGTCAAATGAGGACTCGGATGGTTGGGGGCAAGAGGCTGTAAACCACTTAGAGGGGCTGGGAAGCGGTATAGCGGTATAGCTCTTGCTATCCATCCAGCTGAGTCCAACGTTTGATGATTCTCTCAGCAGGTCTCTCCACGTCCTCCAGTCTTGTTCTATGTTGTGGCTGGTGGCAGCTTTGATGGGCTGCAGGGACCCTTTTACCTCCCCCTCTTCCAAAGGCAATTAATTTTCCCGGTGATCTGTCTACCAGGCCTAAGCAAATAAAGGATGGGACTCGATTGGATTTCCCTGCGTTGCCTCTGGGCTTCACCATTTGGCTCCACCTGGCTCATCAACACCAGGCTCTCCACCAACTCAAAACATCTGGAAATCAGGTAGAACAACCTCCGGGTGGCTGAAGCCCTTCCGGTCCTCCTTCCCTCTGGCCATCTGCCCTCGCCTTCAAGACAGCCTCTTCTCCCCTCTGGGTCATGGCTGGTTTTCTCCAGCATAACAAGAACAAATTGAGGCAGCCTGGTTCCATGGTGAAGGTAGGAGACGGGGGTTTGTTCTCCCTCCCTCCCTCCCCAGTGATGGGAGCTTCCTGGATGATGTGGGGCCGGTCCCTGCCTCCCACCCGACCTCCTTCACGGGGTGGCTGCTGTGGGGGAAGCTAGGAGGGAAAGATGCCTGAAGCTTCATCTGGAAGATGGACTTTAAAGTGAATCATAAACCTTTAAAAACTGGCCCTTTTGCCCAAAAAAATACCCTCCCCGTGAAGCATGAAATATATCTACAGAAGGCTTCCCCTCCCAGATCAGGTACCTGCGGATTATGCTCGGCTGCTCTCTTGAACGGAACCTGGAGGGGAGCATCAGTCACAGCCCCCGTGCGAAGGCAGAAGAGGGCCTGGTCATCAGGAGGCCACCACTGAAGCAAAGAAGCCTCTCCAGATAAAAGCTTCTCCCCCTCCCTTTGCCAGAACTCATCCAAACTCCCCCAGAGGCTGGGGGCCCCACCTCCTGCCACAGGGGAACTTCCTCTGCCCCAGCAGATCTTCCTGGGGTCTCCTGCCCCATGCTCTGCCCACCCCTTGGCCCCTCCAGAGGAAACGCCACCTACCCAGCGGGAAGCAGGCGAGGCTGCTCAGGAGATGCTGCCCACGTCTGAGAGACGGATAATATTCCCAGACCTGAAAAAAGTTTCCCCAGCTTCCAACTTTGTCCTGGCCATGGAGGGAATTCGTGGTAGCATCCAGGTTCAGGATCTCCAGGCTGCAAAGATATGAAACTTACAGGGGCTTTTGAAACGTTTAAGGATAAGGAGAATGTTAGGTAAGCTCCCCGTTAGGAGAACGAGTGCGGGCAGCGAAGCGTAGTGAGAGTGGTGTGGAAGAACACATAAACCAGCATACGGAGACACTGAATTGTAAAACAGGTAGTATTTTACTTCTGTGGAAATAGAGGCATGCAGAGTCCCATTCATACACGGTTAAGACAGTCAGTGTCAGCCTCTGCTTTGCTGTTGCTTCGCCTGCCATGAAACGGGGAGGGAGGGCATGGTATTTGGGAGGGGTTACTCATTGTGCTGGAGGAAGGTTCTGGAGTTCAACGGCTGGTCGGACTATGCATGCGTGGGAGGTTCCCGCCAGGACTAACAGCACTGACATTCCATCTTTGTGATGCCTTTTGAAGTTATCTCGCACCTGACACTAGGGAGAATTATGATTGGACTGTAACTGGGATGCCAAGGGGAGGAGAATGGGCTATTCTATAT